CCCCCCCACAACTCCCCCAACACACACACCCCCCAATTGTTTAAGCCTGTTCCTATGAATGCACAAGGAAATTATGGAACTAAAAGTTCATTACTAAGTCCTCTCTGCCATATCCTGCTTGTGCAGGATCTGGTGTTTGGAACAGCATTGCGTGTGTGTTGAATTGACCTTAACAAGCTGCCAGATGCTGATCTCTTGATTCCTACAATTGCATAGTCAGAACAAAATAAATGTGGCCTCTATTGAAATGTACCACTGTCATGCCATGCACTGAGCCTTGGAAAAAAAATTGATTTGCCTTCTTTATGGGTCAAATTGTGTTTTTCAGTTACTAGCCAAAACATAGCAAGACTAGCAATTAGTGAAGGAAACAGCTTGTTCATTAATAGAATTGGCAAAGTTGTAATGCTTTGTTTTGTTTTGTTTTGTTTTTTCCTCCTTTTTCTGTTTGAGGTGATGTACTCTTGGCTACAGCTTTTCTGTCCTATTCTGGTCCTTTTAACCAAGAGTTCCGCAGTTTGCTGTTAAATGACTGGCAAAAGGAAATGAAAAGCCGAAAAATTCCTTTCCGTAACAACTTGAACCTCATAGAAATGTTGACTGATGCTCCAACTATCAGTGAATGGAACCTGCAAGGATTGCCAAATGATGACTTATCCATACAGAATGGAATCATTGTCACTAAAGCATCTCGTTATCCTTTGTTAATTGATCCACAAACACAGGGTAAAATTTGGATTAAAAATAAGGAAGGCAGAAATGACCTTCAGGTAATAGAAATGCTAAAAGCTTACAAGCATTACAATTCAGTGATTCCCCTAATGCTTAGGAAATTATATTTATGCAAAAAGCTTGGCTTGAATATAAAAAATATCTCAGATATATTTTATTGGATTTGAGATTTGATTAGATGTGGAAGTGTATCCTTTAACATCAGTGACTCCATTGTTTAATGAATTTATTTTAATGGAACATAAACTTTGGAAAATAGGCTGGATGGGCACTGTCTGGTAATAAATATGTTTTCAGAATAATGTAAGTGTTAGGAAAAAACACCAACTAGTTGAATTAATACAATTTCATGTAAGGGTTTATAAATGAAGAATCATTTTTAAATGTTATAGCAAGATATTTTTTCATATTTTAATCAGAAATGATGTCAATTTTTGTTGTTTTAGTATGGATGTCAGCTGCTAAGTGCTCTGCAAATATACAGGGAAGATGTACAGTCTGGGGCAAGAGACACAAATTCAATTCAAACAAGAAAATAGGAGAAAGAATGTTCTTACTTGATGCAATTATAATTACATCAATAAACCAGCTTTTTTTTTTTTTTTTAATAAACAAAACCCTGAAATCCATAAAAGTAGCTTGAGGTGTGATAATAGAGTGGTTCTGTGAATATAACTACCACTTTCGTGGTGATTGTTATCTAGGTGTAGAAACCTTTAGCGGTTGCTTAATTATTATAAAAATTATTATTAGTTTGTTTACAACTTTATTAACATCTAAGGTGAATGTTCTTTTTGAACATGTTGAAAACCTCAGTTATACTGGGGACGATTTAAAGCAAAGACTGTTTAAGGTTCTGTTCCTTGTAAACCTCTCCTTTTCAAGGGTGAAAAAATCCACAGAAAAATACTTATCTTGGAATTGACCCTGGTGCAGTTTGACTCGGAGATGTTATCCAAAATAAAATTGAAGGTGCTAAAAGGTTCCTGTGAATTTTTCCTGTGAAATTCTTGTGTAGTTGTACTCATAGGATATCAAAATTGGAAGTGCGGCTTTGCTTCTATCTTTGCAGCTGAAAATTAGAACTTTGCATTCCATGAGATTTGGCAATAGGATATGCTGATGTTCCCTTTCCTTGAGCTCACAATGTTTGCATTAATACTAGTCCACTCACAGGATCATTGCTTTTGGCAGTACTTAAAAGAAAATGAAACTATATATAAATATGAAACTAAGAAAAAGATTGGCATAAGGTATTGCATCTATGTTTTTAGATCACTTCTTTGAATCACAAGTATTTTAGAAACCACTTAGAAGACAGCCTTTCTTTGGGAAGACCTCTTTTAGTAGAAGATATTGGAGAAGAGCTGGACCCAGCACTTGATAACATTTTGGAAAGAAACATCATTAAAATAGGTTCAGCCAACAAGGTAAAAATAAAACAAGTGAGCAAACATATGTAAATTCCCCTTTCCACCCTTCCCCTCCCCACAACTTCTCCTTAGCAAAATAACTCCTAATAATTATAGGACTATAAAAATTAAACTCATTTAAATTTGATCAATGCTAATGAAAGAAAAAAAAAAGGTAGGGTTTAAGTTCACAAATGGTTAATATATTTACTGCATAGAGTTCCTTATTCCTTTGCTTATGACAATTTTTAGAAGTTGAAATAATGTTTGAATGGGCCATTTAAGGTGGTCCTGGACTGTTTTTAACATTTTTTTTGCATCAGATGTATGATTTAAAACTGGATTTTTATGCCTTTAAGCAGAAAAATGTAACCTTTTTTCCTATATGCAGTATCTGAAAATGTGTGTATTGGGTCTTTATATTTCAAGACTTTTTTTTAACCTTTTACTTAAGGTAAAAGTTGGTGATAAGGAAGTGGATGTTATGAATGGCTTCAAGCTTTACATTACTACAAAACTGCCAAATCCTTGTTACTCTCCTGAAATTAGTGCTCAAACCTCCATCATTGACTTTACTGTAACCATGAAAGGTCTTGAAAATCAGCTCTTAGGCAGAGTCATTCTCACAGAGAAACAGGTAAAATAATTTATTGTATCTCTTTTCCTGTCTGTAGTTCTTATATTTACCTGTAGAATTTTTTACTTTAATTTATTACTCTCTATACCAATATTGCAAGGTAACTTTCTGGCTCTCTCTATTGTGATTCTTCTTAATATAACCTATTTTTAATGGTTTAAAAAGTGGCACAGAAGCAATTGACTCATTCATGTGGAAGTTTCTCTGTCTCCTTATTGTTGCAACTGTGCTGTATTAACCTTATTTTTCCTGCCTCAATGAGTTATTACCTCATGAGAATGGCCTGTGAAAAGCAAAGGGGCCTGAAATCAAAACTGATGTTCTGTCTACAAGCGCTGGAGCTCATGGAAACATAACCTAATGCAAAGAATTCAGACTTAGTTACTTCCTTGCTCAAGGGAAAATTGGCCACCTACTGACATACCTTTTGACATTTCAGATATATTAGTTGAGGAAATCCAGGTTCAAGATGCCAGTCCCAATTAACATGCCACAAAGAGTTCTGGAGGAAGGCTGGTTGGTACCGTTTAAACTATGGAACAGCTAATCCCTGTACCTATAAGGTCAGGCAATGTTCATGTTATAAAAAACACTATGCAGCTATGGCTGTGTATTTACTGGTGTATTTACTAAGATTTTGGCAATAGTTTCAGTTTACCTTCACTAGAGAGGAAGGACAGGAATATCTTTCTTTCCTTTTGTGGCATCTGTTGAGGTTCTCCCATTGTTCCAATACCTCCCTCTGCCCTGCCAGTGTAAGATTTTTCTTGTTAATGGACTCAGTCATCCTGTTCATGTTGGGTAGTTGCATGTCATTCCCAAACAGTGCATGGATCTCATGAGAAAAATCACACTCAAATTGTTAAGGTCTGTTTTTTATCAGACAGCTTCATTGCACCATCAGCTCCTCTTCAACCACTGATAGCTTGTCAACCCACTATGTAAAGAAATGATCACTGCCTATGTAAAACACTCTGTGATGTGTATATTCACAAAGCCTTATGCCAGACTTCACTTCTTGGGCCTTGAAATATAGCACATTCCTCCAGGAGACAGTTTATTAAATTCCTCCAGACATTGCTGTTGCTATGTGCTTGCTTGGAGGACACAGGAAAGGGAGGAACTTGACTTTTCTCAGAGGAGCCAAGAAGTGATGGAGAACTAAAACTCATATTGGAACATGAAGAATTCTGATTAGATATGAGGGGAAATATAATTACATCAAGAGTGGTCATGCCCAGGAGTAGATTAACCAAGGATTTTGTGGGATTTCTGTTTTGGGAAGGGTTCAAGATTCACCTGGACATTGCACTGAGCAACTGAGCTGTTTAGGTTTGAGCAGGGGCTGAACTAGTTAATTTCTGTAGGTGCCTTCCAAATTAAAATTATTCTACTGTTCAGTGGCCACTTTGTCACTAAGAGGGAATGTCTAATAAATGGACATAGGGTGCTCTCTCTGCCAGCTTCTCAGAGTGTTATGCTCACTACTGCTTTGTTTTAAACCCCTGGGTATATTTCCTCTAAATAAATGACAAGTGGACAACTTGACAGGCAGGGGAACTTCTACAGAATATACTTAACCATGTTGCAGTTTTCTTGGTCTCTCTTTATACACCTTGTGGTTCAAGGTTTCCTGAGGAGTCAATTTGAATATGTCACATCCAAACACTTTCCTATGATGTCTAATGATGCATCTTTGGGAATCTGGGGGTTTCCCTCTTAGGTGTCTGGATTCTTACTACCTTTTGTAGCCTTTGGTAGGAGAGTGGTGGAACTATTTTATATGAGAAAGTTTGCCAAATGATTTGAGCAGTATGACTGCTTGGTGATATCCAGTGTTACAATGTATGTGCAGAACTTCTGTCCCAGAAAGAGAAGAGATTATTTATTTGAAATCAGAGTTCTTCAATATTTTTATGCACATTTCTATCCTTCTTCCCATTCTACCATCTTTTATATGGTTCTGGTCTTAGAATGAATTTCTTTCCTTCCTTTTCCAGCAAGGAAAAGGAGCATGGTATTTAACGTTTCTGCAAAGTCTGGCTCTCTGTTGTCTGCTATGTCCATTAAAATAATCTTTGTCACATATATCTCACAGAATTAATTGTTTACTGATAGGAACACTAGTACTGATTTCTTATTTTCCACCAGAATGTAAACCAATTGCAAGATACAAGTGAAGCATAAGTATAAGCATACAGCTGGTAGATGGGTATACATTTGATTCTCCTTTATTTCCTGGAGTAACAGGATTTGAGAGATATGATATATGTCTGAAGGTATTATAGCTTATGATATTTAAATGATCTAATTATTTTGATACATTGGCTGTTATGTAATTTAACAAAAATCTTGTTTATTTAGTGTCATAGATAAGTCAGATTAGTAGTGGAGTTATAATATGCAATAACTCTTTATGGTTTTTTGAACTTTCACATTCATATATCAAGATTTTTGCTGCAAAAATGCTTGAGTTTTGTAAGGAACGGTTGATGCAAATTCTTTTACTTGTAAATTATTTTGTGAGAGGATGATATAAGCTATGTAGCAGCTTTCATATTTTATGAATATTAACAATAAATTGCATTCTTTGGTACAGTTGGCAAAATGTCATCTGCTTGTGAAATGAACTCCATAAAACAGGATCTGAAATAGTCTTTTTGGTGCAAGTTCCTTGAATTTATGTACATGATAACTTGGTTTATTTTTTCTGCATTCTTGGTGTTATGACTGGAAATTTTTGAAGCTATGAAGAAAGCTTGCAACTGTTTACACTTATTCATCTGCAAAAAGCATTTTAAGAGCTTAATAGATGAGCTTAAGAGCTTTTTAGTAAGGTTTTCATCTAGGTTTACTTCACGTTAGCTTGGTGAACTGTCTCCACCTTGTTTCTCAGGCTCTTGTGAGGAGAATTTCTTTCTGTTTTTATGAAGCATTGAATTCTAAAGTATGTTTAAATTTTTGAACTGAATCAGAAAAATATGAAGTTTAATTTGGTGCAGTATGTTAATTATTATATTTAATTGGATGATAACTGCCTTTTAATGCAATTTAGAAGTTCTCACTTTATCAAACTTGCATGAAAAGAATGTTTCATGAAACTATTACCTGCTTTTCTTCAGTTCCATGAAGCAGCAGTTAATTGAAATGTAGATAACTGTAGTTTTCTTGTCTATTTTCATCAGTTTTTTGTCAGATCTTTTGAATAAGTAAGCACATCCTCTAAGTTATGTTGTCTTTGCATTATTCTGAGTGTCCAACTAAATATTTTCTACCTGGTGATGATTATGATGTTTCAATATGCCAAGAAAAAAACTCTAAATCCGATAATAAAAAGATAATTTTTCTGAATTTCCTTTTTAAGGTAAAGGGGCATTCTTTAAAATAAATGAATGTTTGAATTAGGAATGTAGGAGGAGAATGTAGGTTAAGAAGGCCAAAAGTTTAGAATGTGGAAAAATAATTTTAAAAAAACAATTTCAAAAGTTGTAATAGTTTTTCAAAGCTGCATGAAGGAAGACTAGTCAAATGGGGGACTAAAACCTTTCCTTAAACATTGCTAAGGGCTCAGGTCCATAATGTCTCTAGTGCTATATGAGAGATCATGTGTTTCTTAGTGCTGTCCCTATTCCTTTGGAATATTAGCAGCCGGTAAACAACATGGAAATGGAGTTGGCAATGATGGAGTGAACACAGAACTTCCAAGTTCAGAGAGACATTGTTAAAATTATTCATCAGGCCTTTGTAAATTTGGTGAAGTATTTATCTAGACAGCAAATATTTTTATCAACTGGCTCACTTACTGTTCATTCATAAGATTCATATTAACCTTCTCCTATGAAAAACTCTTAACCCGTCCTCTCTCTTTTCTTTCTTTTTACTTCACTGTACTGAAACATTTAGTTATATTTCAGTAGAGGATTTTTATCTCTGATGGACTAATTTATATTAAGTTTTTAAAGGTTAATTTTAAGAATTAATTGAACAGATTGTTATAGCTGAAAAGTATTTTTCTAGGGATTTCACATAGCTGTCTTTTAATGTAAAACTCTTGATTAACAGTTATTCATCTTCTATATTTGGGCACTGGAAAAGAATCTAGGTACATAAACCACCCAGATTGTATTACTAAATGTATAAAATAAATAATTCTAGTGATGCAACTCAAGTTCTACATACTTTCTTGATTAATGAAGCATTTTAGTGAGAGACTGAAATTATCCCTGTCTGATGGAGGAGTATTGGCACTTCTTGAAATATATGATGCTTGATTTGATGACTAAGCATGGCCATTGAGTCTAAGTTTTCTATATGGCAATTGTAAAGCAAGGCATAAATGAGGATAAGATTACATGTAGGGGAATAAAATCCTATGTCTGGAATGGTGATTGCATTTGTCATTTCTGAAACAGAAAGAGAAGACAAACCATTGTGAACTTGTTATTCTTTTAAGGCATGATACAAGCATCTTCCATAATATTTTTAGAAATGATTTGTTAATGCCTACTTATGTAGCAGGTTCAGAGCCTGGCAATATATATTGTGTCAGAAATACCACTGGAATTATTTCCCCAAAATAATTCAGCAAGTTTTGACCTATGCTGTTTTAGTAGGATCAGTATTTTTTAAGCTAAATATTTGGGTTTTTTCTTTTCTTTTTGATTGCTCGTCTGTTTCCCAAATATTACCATGTAATCCAATAGGAATTAGAGAAAGAAAGAACTGATCTTATTGAAGATGTGACTATGAACAAAAGGAGAATTAAAGACCTAGAAGATAACCTTTTATTTCGACTTACAAGCACTAAGAGTTCTCTGGCAGATGATGAGACTCTAGTAATTGTATTGAGTAACACTAAGAAGACTGCTGAAGAAATAACACAGAAACTGCAAACTTCTGCTGAAACTGAAGTACAGATCAATTCAGCCCGCGAAGAGTACAGACCTGGTGAGTGAAGGTAGTCATAGAAGACAAATAGCTAGACCATATATTTAAAACACCAATACTTAGGGCAGGAGAAATGGTAGGATGAGTTCAGGAAGACAAAAATTGGTGGGAGAGATCTGTCTTTTCCTGTAAGTAAAATGTATCCAGGAGATGTCATATTGGGCTGTAACAGAGAAAATAGTCAATGTTATGCCTCATGAGGAATTTATAAAACTGAGTGAATTGTTCTCTTTGTAGACTTCTCATTGCTCTATAAACAAGCACATCATTAGGGTGTTTAGGTAAGTATATGTTTGAGTTCAACATGTTGACATTCTTTTACAGAGCTTGTATAACATTAAGTACTCTCTATATCTGTTCTGATGAATGCTTCACCATTTATTCTTTGGTTGTTATAGTCAACAAATTTCATGAGTCTTTTGACTTTTAACTGACAGGTGAAAAAATGTGAGAAAAACAGGGAAAACAGGGAAAAAATAGCTCTCTGTAATTGTCTGTATTCAATGAAATGTGTAAGATGATACAGTTAGTGTACCAGAAACCTTTGTGTTTAAAACTGAATGACTCCTGAAAAGAATTTAAATCAGTGCTGGGTAAGTTCAATCAATATAGCTCATTTCTTCTATATGAATCTTGTAAAAGTTTGTAAAAAGAAATTTGTTTGGATACTTAAACAGTATTTTAAACAGCCATAAGTTTTATGTGTTCTGCTGATGATCTGAATATTGCAGATCTCCAGATGTGCTCGTATTTGAAAGCTGGACTTTACATAGCTTGCATTAATTACAGAAAATAATTTTTTCCCCTGATGTATACATGAGGATTAAATGAATGATTTTATTATTTTTCTGGCAGTAAAGAATAGAGAAACTCAAGGATCTTCAGTTATCATTAGTGTAAAGATCATTTTATGTGTTTTGGAGAGTTAAAGTTTTCTTCTCTACGTTTCTACTTGAACAAATTTTTCTTTCCTGCTCTTCAGTTGCAACACGAGGTAGCATCTTGTACTTCCTTATCACTGAGATGAGCATGGTCAATGTCATGTATCAGACATCACTTCGACAGTTTTTGGGGCTTTTTGACCGCTCCCTAGCCAGGTAATTTAGCTAACAATAAGTATAATTTGTATTTACCCATTCCTGGAGGTGCCTGTAGTACAGTAAAAATTTATTGTAAACTAATATCATGCTTCTTAGAATATTGATCAAGAATTGTCAGCTTAAATACCCATAAAAATTTGTAAGTTAACAAGGCAAAGACCCTTCTAATCTACTTACAGTCCCTCAAAATTTGTCATTAGATAATTAAATGCCATTTTACTGCATTGATTTTCAGATGGACAAAAAGACTTGATTAGAAAGGATTTTTTGTTGTTGTTCCCTCAATCTGAAAGTTGTTGCCAGCTTGTTGTCTGATATTCTGTTTGTGATCTACTATTTTTCATGTTTTGAAAATACTGAACTGTGGCTTTTTCTTTTTTGCATAGTATTCCTTTTCTATAAAGCCTAAGAAAATCAAATTTCAACTGCAGACCTTTCTTCTAACAGGTCTACCAAGAGCCCTATAACCAGCAAGAGGGTTACCAATATTATTGAATATATGACATATGAAGTATTCAAACATACTGCCCGAGGGCTCTATGAGGAACATAAATTTCTTTTCACATTACTTCTTACTTTGAAGATTGATATACAAAGAAACAGAGTGAAACATGAAGAATTTCTGACACTTATTAAAGGTGAGAACTATGAATAAATTATAAGGAGAGCACATTATTATTTTAGAAAATTTATGTATTTGTATCTCCTAGCCAGCATGCTCCTTCCTTTTGCGCATGAGAAATCAGTTGATTCTAAGAATACATGTTTATCATTCTGATCTGGTGACAGACAGCATTGTATGGCAGCTCTAATTTATAGCAGCACACTGAATATTGATGAATATATCTTTATAATAATGAGAATTTGAAAGGAATATTGTTGTCTGCTGCTCAAATACCATCAGGTATGTGTTTAGCTTAGAAAAATTGTTATTGTACTAAACATATTATAGTAACTGCAGCAAATAGGAGCAGAAAATGAGGCTAACATTTTAAAAGAACATCAGAGTCTCAGCTGCATGAGACAAGGTCATGGCTTTGGCCTCAACTACATACAAGCACTGAGTTCACTTGAAAATTTGGATCCATTTTTTATTACCTTTTCAAGAGACTTAGTTTTCCAGGCAGTATTTATTAATGGATTATATGTGTGAATTTTTCTATGTTGAATCTTCAGAATATCTTTTCTCAAAAAGCCATTATTTCCAGGCACATTGCACAAAAAGCCAGTAAAGCCTCAAAATGTAAATTGTCTAATACTTCTGACTAAGTTACATAATATTAAAAAAATACTATAAATTAACCAATTGCAAACTTGGCTTAATCAAATATGGCATAGTTTTGTGAGGTAGAAAACTTCTGTAACATCATGATTTAAAAAATGGATTATTGTATTTGTTTTTTTCCTTCTTATTTTGTTTATTTTTCTTTGTCTCTCCAACAGTGCTAATAACTAATTTCAATTTCTTGTAGGTGGTGCTTCCCTAGACCTTAAAGTTTGTCCTCCTAAGCCAGCTAAATGGATTCTGGATATGACTTGGTTGAACTTGGTGGAGCTCAGTAAGCTTGAGCAGTTTTCAGATATTCTTGATCAAGTACGTAAGAGCTTTTGAAAGTTGATCTCTTGTCTAACAAGTAATTGTCTGGCAGCAATCCAGCCATGTGGTGGAAACTGGTTTATTTAATGGAAGAGAAACAAAACTGACAGCAGATGGCCACAGTTATGGCCCTGACTGCTTAGCAACATATGTTGATATAAAATCTCAACCATGCCCCCAAGAAAATAAGAAGAGTGTAGAGTGTTCATACTTTCTAAAATTGTAATATTTTCAGATTGGGATTATCCCAATACAATTCTCCAATTAATATATTGCAAATTTATTTTTATTCTGGTTATTACATTATTTTGCATAAAACACTATGTTTTATGATGCTTGTTCCAATATTATTCTGGTTACATGGAGTAAAAGTTAGGGAGAAGGTACATACATGTGGAGAGCAATTATGTACTTGCTGTTCTCAAAGCTGTATCTGTGCCTAGCTATCCATATTCTGACATAGCTATGCTATATTATATCAGAATATAACATACTGATGAATAGCTCCTGTTTTCAGAATACGAATACTCCCGGGTTGTGTATTCCACAATAGCATTCTTATAATCTGAAATTTTATCCTATAAGTTTTTAATAGCCTTTTTAAATCTGTGGAAGAATGACTCTAAACAAATGCCTGGGTGTGAATTTCACATCTCTGACTCTCATTAAAAGTTTCTGACCTAGCAGCAGTGCAAATATGACTTGTCTTTTTAGTAATATTTGCTTCTTTGATGGTATAATTGCAGATTTCCAGAGAAGAGAAACAGTGGAAAATCTGGTTTGATAGTAAGAATCCTGAAGAAGAATCGGTTCCTAGTGGCTATGGTCAATCTCTGGACTGCTTCAGACATCTTCTTCTTATCAGATCTTGGTGTCCTGACAGGACCATAGCTCAGGTATATTTTTATAGCCTACATAGTCTATTTAGGTATCACTACAGTAATAGTTTTCAGATTGCAGGTTTGTACTATCTTATATAATGCTAAAGGTCCATTTTGTAATGTTTTATTTTCTGAAATTCTTTTCAGACTATTTATGTATTTGTTACAAGGGCAGTGATAAAAAATTATTCCAATATATTGAACAAATATTACCCACTGTGGTGATTTCTGCTGGAATCATATGTGTTTATCCAGATCTGCTTTATTGGTTCAGAAGATACTTTTGACTATCCTTGCTTACTCACTAGAACTCTACAAGTGTCACTGTGTTAAACTGAAGTAAAATATTTTAATGAACTTGACTGGATGAGGTAAAATTGAAAACAATTTAACAATTTAATTGATAAACTATTTCTTGCATGGAAGAATTATAATCACTTTGGAAAAATCTTTAATAAAATCTGCTCAAAGTTCTCAATTTAAAGTCATCTATTTAAAAATTACAGAAATTAAGTTTATTAAATAGACCTTTTTTAAAGAAAAATCATTTTCTAGGAACTTATTTTTAAACTTTATGTTCTTCTCCAGTACAAAAGAACAAAAATTTATAACATTACTGACAATTCAGGACAATTAATGATGATTTACTGAAATTAGAATGTATCACTTGAAGTGTGGTGTTAATTTTATTGATGCATATCTTTAGAATTGTGATTGGACTCAGAGAAAATCTCACCAGTTACTGGTGTAACTGCAGTCAATAGATTAAGCAGTACTGTATAATGAATATCTCTATGATGTCTGCTATGTGTCTGAAACAGATCACACAAGATTAGTTCCTCCTTACTGTTAATGGGGCAAGGTAAACTTTCATCTTTCCATGGTTTTATGAAAACTGATAGTTTATCAAATGTTATATGCTGAATGTCTTTTGTCTCTGAGAGGTAACCCAGAGGTGTTAAGGGGAAGATTTATCTAAGACAAGAGCTGTGTGGGGGGAAATACTGTAAGAAAGATCATCTCAGAGTGTTTGAAAGAGCCTTTTCTATTTCTTTGAGAGAAAGAACAATAATCTAGAATTTTTAAAGATAAATAAAGAGGGGAGAAGAGTTGGTTTTCACCTATTCCTCTGGATTGTCTACTTAGTGATAGTTATTTTAATCATTACTACTGTTAATTCTTTGCTTATTTTACTGCAGTGAGAAAGGCTTACAAGCTTTGAAGCCCATCTTTAGTATTTTTCTCTTATTTTTCTAGATTCTGAGGCTAAGAGTTACACTATCTAATGGAGATATCCTTAATTCATTAAAATTTTTCTAAAATTTTAGAGAAGTTGTTATTTTTTATTATACTGTAATTATGGTTATAAATATAAATACATACAGATATATGTAATAAAATAATTATTTTTTTTTAATTCACTGGTTGTATAAGGCTATAAAAATAATACCTTCAAAGACAGTATGATGTGTTGACATGTAAAAAAAAACTTGTTGTATATTTATATTTTTGATATAAATTTTTATAATTTCTTTGATCTTCAGTTGACCTTTTGGTAATATTTACACTGGGAAGAAAACAGTATTAAATGGTTAGGTCACAAGTTAAATTTTACCTTTTTAATATAGGCAAGAAAATATATCACTGACACTATGGGGGAGAAATACGCAGAGGGAGTCATCTTGGACTTGGAGAAAACATGGGAAGAGTCAGATCCACGTACTCCCCTCATATGCTTTCTTTCCATGGGCTCTGATCCTACGGACTCAATTATTGCTTTGGGAAAAAGACTAAAGATAGAAACATATTGTGTTTCCATGGGCCAGGGGCAAGGAATCCATGCTCGTAAACTTCTACAGCAGACAATGGCTCATGTAAGTAACAAAAACCGGAATGTTTTTCTCTCTGTATTAAGCACTTAGAAATAAAAATCCTGCCATGAGATAATGTTGTTTGGTGGGTAATTAGTGCTGATGCAAATGCCTACGTTTATTTATATAAATGTCCTAAGCAAGAGAACTGTATTTTCACACTCCTTCAATTTACCACAGCAAACTTCTTGATACTGTGCATCTGCTTTTCCTTGAAAATTGAGTGGTTTTCATATAAAATGGGGATTTTATAGTGATTGCAGACTGATGAACAGAGCTGAATTGATTTTTTGGTTTTTTGATTATATCACCAGCAAATATTCTTCTGTAGGCATTTCAGATTATATTTTCAGGTTTTTATTTTAGTAATATGGATGTATTTTGTTAAATAAAGAAAATGAATTCCAGATATGCTATTGATTGTTACATAAACTTGAGAAAAACAAGACAAGTATAGCAAGTTATTTTGTATTGCTGTAGTCTGAATTTGGACTTGGGAGGGACAATCTGGTAACAGGCATTTTACAGGATGAGGAATTAAAGAGAAAAACTATCTGTATGAGAAAGGTGAGATGTTCCAATCTCGCATTCTTTGTGCCTCAGGTGGTACTACTGCTATACCCACTGATGTGAAAATACTGATCTTACTCTCCTTTGCTATGAGCTTCTTTTTATGATCTGTTTTACTTTTGCTTCAGATTCTTGTTTGATAACTTCTCATAAGGAACTAATTGACAGATCAAATGAGAAGAAACCCATTCAAAAACAGGGGAAAGGAGCACCTTTAGTTTAGTCAAGAGAAACGCAGTTACCTTCCCTCACTGTCTAACAAGGTGTCTTAGGGAAGAGGTATATGAGACACCTATAATGAAATATGGTAATTCATATAAAGAAGTTTGACATCTATTGATTGATAGAAATAGGTTAATAACATATGTTTATTTGATTATTTTCCAAGCCTGGAACCCCTGTGAGGAACAAGGTTTCGCAGGTTGCTCTGTGGAGCTACTCCTAAGCTCCCTTATGTAAGTCAAAATTTATCAGTTTCTATCAGTGCTGTAGTCATGACAAGGTATGTCTTAAATGTATTGAAATGGAAAAGGTAGAGAATATTTAAATAGACCAGATGAGACAAGTAGGGACCACTTGTTCAGGTGAAAAAAACCAAATAAGCTAACAGCATCTTCAGAAGAAACAGCCCAGATCTTAGCTCCCATCAAGGAGATTTCAATTTTTGAACAATGTTGATAACTTTTTAAATTCTATTGTTTTAAACTAGGGAGGTTGGGCGCTTCTGCAAAACTGCCACCTTGGACTTGACTTTCTGCATGAGTTAATGGACACAGTAATAGAGACAGAGAATGTTCATGAAAGCTTTAGACTTTGGATTACAACTGACATTCACAAACAATTCCCCATCACCCTTCTTCAAATGTCGATTAAGTTTACCAATGAACCACCACAAGGGCTCAGAGCTGGACTAAAGAGAACATATAGTGGTGAGTGATAGAATGATAATGATTTTGGACTGTGATGCTATTGTGTGGTCAGGTTAAACTGGTAGTAGGTGTAAGTTGGTATGAGGAACTGCTTGCAATGATGCCAGGGCACATCTTAGTTTTTGTTTTGAAAATTAAAAAGGAGATTTGCTGATGTTCTGTTGCCACAACTAATTGGATATCAAAACAATGAATGCCTTTTCTTTTCTCACAATTTGGCTTGTAGTATTTCAGTTCAAAGTGTTTGAATTTTTAATATTCTGTCTTTTGGCAGAAAAATGGCATGGTTAGCCATCAAATGCTCTTTACACTACATAAAATAAAGGACAAAATCTGTGTAGAAAGCCACTTGATGTGAATTCAGCTATTAGTAAAGTATGGGTTTTTTTCCCCTGAAGTTTACTCTTTTAATTTGAGCAATTTAATAACATGCTATAAACTGTCTCCAGCACAGAACATTTTGTGGGACAATAATTTACCCTTGGGAGAAGCAGAGAGCCAAGTGAATATTTCTAGAGTGATATTTTAGCATTGATTTGAAGTAGTTTTGAAAAAGACAATTACAGTGATTCTCATAAAGCCCATTTGCAATCAATAGGTGTCAACCAGGATTTATTAGATGCCAGTAAAATGGTGCAATGGAAACCACTGTTGTATGCTGTAGCCTTTCTGCACTCCACCATTCAAGAAAGATGCAAATTTGGGTCTCTGGGTTGGAATATTCCCTATGAGTTTAATCAAGCTGATTTCAATGCTGCTGTGCAGTTCGTTCAAAACCACTTGAATCGCATGGATACCAAGAAGGTAATTAATGATTTTGTGGGAAAGGTGGATTAAGATGATGGATCTTTCTAGTAGTAGAATGTATGCAAATGCTTCCTAGTAACTTAACTACAAAAGTGATTTTAATTTATTGTTTTTTCCACAAATATTCAATATTTCAAGTATATCTGTCAGCAGCAGACTTATACTTCTAATTCAGTGCATATTTAATTTCTGTATTATCTCTACATTAAAAAAAAGCCTTTCCAGCCATCTCAGAAATATAAACCTTAGAAGTATATATCTTCTTTTCAATTCCAATTAAGTCAATTAGTTTAAAAGAGATATTTCAAATACTCTCATGTTTAAATCTATTTCGAGTAAAAGTAAGATTTCCCCCCTCTTCCACCTATCTTTGCAGAATGAAGAAGTCAAAAGTGGTTTTAAATGACTATACAAGAATGTCTCCTATGTGTCTCACTTTCATATGGTCAGTTGTCATACAGAGAGGTCTGTGTCAGAGCAGTTTGCAGTTGGCATTTTAAGTGAAAGGAGAATTCAAATATATCTGTAACCTTCTTGCTATCTTCAAGATGCTCTTTAATTTCAGCAAATTCTATTTTGAGAAATCCTTGCAGGTGTTCATGGAATGCAAGACTATAATGAAAAAAAGAGTAATAGGAAAGTAACTTTCTTTCAAATGGGACAGACATGGTACATCAGCTGATTTTTCTAAGGGAGGTCTAAGCAAATAAGAGTGGATTAGCTGAAGTCAGTGGTTTCTGCTTGATTTTAGGGGATCTGCTGGAGTACTGTTCGTTACATGATAGGTGAGATCCAGTATGGTGGTCGTGTGACAGATGACTTTGACAAAAGACTCATGAACACCTTTGTAAAGATTTGGTTCAGTGAAAACACATTCAGTCAGGAATTCAGTTTCTACAAAGGATACAGCATACCCAGATGTACTATGGTGGATCAATACCTTCAGTACATACAGGTTGGTAAATGAAAAATGTTTCTCATAAGTTGTTTCTCATAAAATGTTTCTCGTAAGTCCCTGATTCCCTATAATTTTTGTCTTTTTTTCTGAGTACCTGTATTTTGTCTTTCATTCATAGATTTTTAAAGTGATTTCTAGCACTTTGCATATCTATTAGTGATAACTAATTTTGGTTATCAATGTCATAATTTTCATGGCAGTAATATATATTTTCTTTTTCATGTGTTTTTCTTGTGGGACATACCTAATGGCACAAAGTTATTAAAGGGGGCAAAGAATGGAGTCCAGAGACATTGAGTACAACCTCTTTGAAATAAAAGGTCTAGATATATGAGAGTAAAAGTTTATTATTAAAATAGTGTATAGCTGTTAAAACACAATTTGTTTGGTGTGGTTTGGGCTGTGACACGACAAATAGACCATAGCAAGTTATTTGGCTTAAGATTATTTGAAGAAATCTAGCTCATTACTTAACAGTAATCGATGTTTTTTTTTCCTTTTTTATTTGGTTTTGTTGTGTGTTGAGTTTTATGGGGTTTTTTTCTGTTTTTTTTTTTGGGGGGGGGGNGGGGGGGGGGTTTAATAATTTGCTTCTAAATCTCCAGTTGTACTCTTCTTATATTTTACTATGTAGAGCCTTCCTGCTTATGACACACCAGAGGTGTTTGGTTTGCACCCCAATGCGGATATCACCTACCAAACTAAAGTTTCCAGAGATGTATTGGACACCATCCTCAGTATTCAGCCTAAAGATAGCTCTGGTGGAGGAGGTGAAACTCGGGAGGCAGTTGTAGCCACAGTGGCTGATGATATGCTGGAAAAACTTCCTGCTGATTATGTACCATTTGAAGTGAGTTAATGAAATTCTGGCAAAAACATTTGGTCCATCTTGCCTTTTATGGATTGAAAATAAAAAACACCAACAAATTCCCAAAAACTTTTCTAAAAGCATGTTTGAATTAATTCATACAGGCAATACTTTGTATTTTAAAGAAGTGTGGCAAAAATATTGATGTTTACAATGAAGTCATTAAATGTGTGCTGAAGTGCTTTTGTAAGAACTTTTTCAGAAATATTAAACCTGTTAATGTTTAAGTTGTCATTTGCACTATGAGGGAGGTAGGATCATCAGCTTTTAACTGAGGTTGTTGACACTATAAAATTTCTAGTTATGTTAATGCAGCTGTTTATTTGTTTATTTTACACTTTTGATTAAAAATGTATCAGTGAGATTGATTAGAATACAGGACTGCCTGGTATTGTGATAGTTCCCAGGCATTGCTGCTATGCTGAAGCAAAGTGGCTGAGGCAATTACTCTTTATTAGTTTGTTCAAAAAGAACCTTGGAATTGCTTGTTGGAACTAAAGCTGAATTCTCTGAACTAAGGTAAACAGCCTACAAGCTCTTTAAATGACATTAGCTCAAAGACTAAATCATGACTTGGACTAAAAACATAGTCTGTCTCAGCATCACAGATTTCTCTTGGAAAAAATCCTGTGTTTCTCTCTTGCAGATAATTCAAGGGAGGTGCCAAACTGACCATTTAAGCTCGTAAATAAATTGTGTTATGTCTCAAAGATCATACTGGGGCCTAACATTGACATAAAGCAAATTTTATTTTTTTCACTTCTATTGAAAGATCTTTGGTTTTGTACGAACAGGTAAAAGAAAAACTAAAGAATATGGGACCTTTTCAACCTATGCACATATTTTTGCAACAGGAGATTGAACAAATGCAGAGAGTTATTTCTTTAGTGAGAAGCACTCTGACTGATCTAAAACTTGCCATTGATGGGACAATAGTTATGAGTGAAAATCTGAGGGATGCTTTAGACTGCATGTATGATGGAAGGATTCCTGCTAGCTGGGAAAAGGTAGGTGTACATCACTTGTTCTGGAAAGAAATAAAAAAATTCTATTTATGAAGACTAGATTAAACTGCTAGACTTATAGTAAACATTTTTTTCAAACTATGTTTCAGAAGTGTTAACCAGAGCTGTGCAACTGCTGGAATAGATTTTGTGCTAAAATAAACATATTCAAAACAAGCCTTCTTTCATTTATGAAAATTGAAATGAATGTGAAGGATGCAGCTTTGTTCCATTTTAACAGTCTGTTGCATAATGGCAGTATAAAAACCCAGAGAGAGGAGAGAAATTTAAAATATGATGATGGATTTTAAAAATTAGCACCCACATTATGGACTAAGATAGTGTTATTTATTGGACATATATAATTATTGGACATCCTTTTCTGGGTTAAGTAGAAGTGGCCTGTCCATTTTGGTCAAAATCAGTGCACTTTGAGTTTGAGAAATAACCACATAATTACAGAATAGTAGATGCTGGAAAGGACCTATGGAGACAGTGTAGTTTAATCACATTTCCTAAAGCAGGGTCAGTTAAATTAGGTTTCCCAGGAGTCTCCAGAATCAGAGAGGTGCAACCCATTCCACTCTTTGATCATCTTCACAGTAAAAACCAACCAATCAACCAACCACCAGCCAAACATACAAAAAAAACTCCTTAAGTTGAAACAGAATTTTTGACATTTTATCTTGTTCCCATTGCCTTCTGTCCAATTGCTGAAAAGGATCAGGCTCCATCTTCTTCAGTCCTCCACATGAGATATAAACCTATTTAAGCCTCTTTTAAGCCTTCTCTTCTCCAAGCGAAACAATCCCAGATCTCAGCCTCTCCCCATATAAATTGTTTCCAGGGATAATTAGACCTCTTAATGGAAACTGATGGAAAGAATTTTTTTTTTTTTTAAGAAAAAAGGGGTTTTTTTTTTGTTGTTTGCTTGTTTTGTTTCTACTGGAAAAGTGTTTTCATGGTAGAAAATCTAGATGTGAAGAGATGCTTCACAACACAGCTATATCTCCACATAGTCCAAGTTCAGTTTTCCTTAGGTTTTATTCAGAAGAATAAAAATGCAGAACAGTCCTACAGAAATCATGTTGTCTTGCTATATTGACCTTGGAATTATAAAGACATGTATACAACTTTTTCTCTTATACAGCTGTCTAACCTTGCAAAAATGTCATAACATGGACAATTCCACAGAGAGCATTAAACATGTAAATGGAATAGTAGGCATGTTTTAAACAGAAAAATAATTTCCTTCAGGTTTCAGTGGGATGCAAAGTTTAAGCATCAGATTAAAGTTAAGATATGATAGATGATCTTTAAATATGCTTTGCTAATATTATATTGTTTATTACCATGGGAAGATGTAGCTTTGCTTGACAGCAATGTGCTATTTAAAAACATGTTTACGGTTTTTAGGCATCTTGGCCTTCCAGTACACTTGGTTTCTGGTTTACTGAGCTTCTAGAACGAAACCACCAGTTTTACAAGTGGATTTTTGAAAGTCGACCGAACTGTTTCTGGATGACAGGGTTTTTTAATCCCCAAGGATTTTTAACTGCAGTGAGACAGGTAAATTGTGTTTGAAGTCTTATTCTGCTTATTTTTTTACATGCTTTTTTTAACAGAAAGTATTGTCTGATGAAGGATGAGTTTATACACGTGGGAAAGATTGTGGCTGTCTAACATTTCCTGAGTTTACTGCTCTTCCTTCACATATACGTTTTCAGTATTACAACCACTAATGTGTTAAATTATGTTTCCTGTGTTGACCAAGGCCCAAATGAGTAGAGGCTACCTCACAACATTATTAAGGTAGACTAGAAAAATATTTAGACTCATGTTTCCATTGAGATATCTTTGAGAATGGCCATTAAGCCCATGAATTTGCCTTTTCCCCCCCTTTTTTTTTTGTTCTGTTTTCAGTACATACCTGACTGGAGAATGGGCTGATAAACTATTCAGAATTAGTCTTACATTTTACTGCTGCTGTTCAGTAGCTGATAAAGTCTTTCTTCAGGAAGTGGGAAAGATTTTCCTTTATTGATGCATAGAAATATGATATTTGATGTGTTTGCTAATGCATGTATGTTAATTTGGTGATTCTGTTGGCTGCTCAGCAACTTTTTTACTTTAAAATGAAGCAATAAATACCTGTGTTGGTCAGCATAAAGGGATATATGGGAAACAGTAAGCATCTGGAGCGTGTAAAATTAAAAAAGAATACTCAGGTGAAAATACAATGGGACCTCAGAAAAAAAAAGCCCAAACTTTGTAACAAAATATTTCTTTGAGTGAACAATCCTAAAATAGGACTATCTTTTGCATCCAAGGTTGTGGAAAAGGTTTACTAGCAGGATTGAAACCAGTTGGAAATGACAGAATTTTATGGTTCTGTAAAAAGGAACTGTGAATATGTAACAACTTAATATCCCAAGTAAATATCAAAGTGAGTTTCTGGACTTTGCTGTGTTGTAAAACAAATAGAAATGAGAAGGAGGAACAATCATTGAGCTATAAATCTTGAGTTCTTTTAGATCATTCATGTAACTGCAGTACGGGGCAAGCATTCATTCCAATTACTTCAAAGAAAGATTTTTGAAGCCATTAGAAGACTAAGATAAAATTTGGGTTTGCCGTAACTTATTTGCGTGGCATAGTAAAGAACTTGAGTATTGTCCAGTGCATTAACTAACAGGTTTTTTTGCAGTTTCTTTACATAGCTTTATAGCTGAGTGAGTTCTTACTCATTAGAAATACAGTTACTGAAGAGTAGAGGTGCAGGAAAAGGAAGGTAACCCCAGAAAATATGTTTCACTTACCACATGCAGGTAATGTTTTCTCATCTCATGAAATATGTGAAATTTTTGTGTTCACAAAAGTTGGCTACCATTGACATCCAGCAGCTGTATTACTTGGTATACTTTTTAGATACTTTATATAATAGAAAGAAATTAAAATCAAATATAGTGAAAAAAATACCGAAAGCCTTCTTGCAGTGCCATCCATTACTCCCTTAGAGAAAAGTCAGACTTCTCTGAACATGAATATTGTAAAAGATTGGTGGGATTTTTTTGTACTAAAGAGGATATTTTATGACCATACAAACATATTTCTAATAACTGCTGGGAAAAAGGATTCTGTGCTCATGTGAAAATGTAACCACCTAACTTTTGTCTGGTTTGGGCAGGAAATAACGAGAGCCAACAAAGGATGGGCTCTTGACAGTGTAGTGCTGTGCAATGAAGTCACTAAATGGATGAAGGATGATATCACAAGCCCTCCTTCAGAAGGTGTCTATGTGTATGGGCTGTATTTAGAAGGAGCTGGTTGGGACAGAAGAAACATGAGACTGGCAGAATCTAAGCCCAAGGTGCTTTTTGAGCTTATGCCAGTTATAAGGATATATGCAGAGAATAACAGTAAGTAACAGTATTGTAAAGGATGTTATTTCCATTGAATTCAAGGTAACATTTTATTTAACTGCATTGAAATCTTTTGGGCTGCAGGGATTTCATGAGGCTGCTGCTAATCATTGTATACATAGGAAATCTCTTTTAATGGGGAAGACTTCCCAGTCTTCCATTGAAAATGTGTTTTCAGACTTGCTTCATAATTGATAGTAGTCAATTTTCCTAATATTTAGATAGGTCTCTATACGTGGTGTTAATGGTGTTAAGAGCTTTGTAGCAGGTAAGCTGAACATATTGACAATATATGTCCCAGACCTAAAATGCCATTTTTCTTATACATAAACTCTGTGATCTCTGTAGCCTCCATAACCTAAATCTAAATAATCTCTTTCACTCCTGTCAAAAATGAATGTAATTAATATATATATATATATAAATGTTTGTATGTATGTATATACAACATACAAGATACTCATAGATTATACACACACACAAATATATATACAGGTATATATTGTATTTATAGATAACATATTTTTATTTATATACATATATATATATATATATATATAATATGTATATTTATAAAAACTTTTTTTTCTGGACAAGTCTGATTTTGAGCTCATGGAAGCAAGCAAGAAGTGGAGTGAGGTGGTGGGAGATGTTTTGTCTTTGAGGCAGTAAAGGAATGTAGGAATGGAAAGGAAACTTATGGGGCTTAGAGGACAGCGCTGTGAAAATGTGTATTTATCTTAATGTGATGGGTTTTTGCATATAGAATAGGACATGCTATTGAATAGGCATGTAAAACAGAATAGAATAATCCACTGCAAAACATAAAATTGGAAAACTGTTGAAAAGCATTCCACCTCTATAAGCAAATCTTGCTAACATGCTATTTTGCATAGCTAATGTTTTACAAAAGGCATGATCAGCAGCCAACTAAATAATGAAGTACTGAGCATGACTAGACTACTGTTCTAATTCTGCAGTGAAGTAGCTGATGACTTGTACTGTATAGTACAAATACTAAATACATTTCAAACCAGGTTTGTTGAAAGTAGGGAAATTTCATTTTGGTATAATATATTGATAAGAAGTAATGTTCAGTGGGCAGATTGCATCAATAAGAACACTAATTACTCTAGAGTGTCTATTTACATATATTGATTTGCATCAGTTCCTAGGTGCTCATGTTAAACCCACAGAAATTTCAAACCATGTTATGTCCTTCAACTGGCAATAGCAAATAGAGAGCAGAGTACTATTGAACTTGGATTCAGTTCTCCATTTGCTTAATGATCATTCCCTTAGGGCCCCATTTTTTCAACTTTAATTGCTCTTTATATCTCTTTTGGCTTTTCAGCTGCAAAAGATCCACGTCTGTATTCATGTCCGGTCTACAAAAAGAGCAGTCGAACAGATCTTAATTACATTGCTGCTATGGATCTTAAAACCCGTCAGCCTCCAGAGCACTGGGTACTCCGTGGAGTAGCACTTCTGTGTGATGTCAAGTAATGTTAAAAAAAAAAAAAAGGTTTATTTTCTGATTTTAAATGCAAACATTTTTATGTAGTTAGATACAAAGTGAAGCCCTTCTAAAAATATTATTTTGAAATCATAGACTGCATTATGGTGTTTTCATAAAATTATTCTCAATAAACTTATACAATAGGCTTATAAATGGCACATCTTAGAGTGACATTAACTTTTGTGTCTTTGAAAAATCATGACAAATATTTAGTGCTCCTATCACTTATGTGTGCATAAGCCCTCCTCCTGTGTGCTTAATTTTACCTTGAATAAAGATTAGTTGATTTGAACATTGGTACTTTTTGCTAGTAACATTCTTGTATCAGGACTGACCTTCAAGAGGCTAAATTGAAAGCTGGGATTTGTTTTTTTGTTTGTTTGTTTTGGTTTTTTGGTTTTGGTTTTTTTGTGTGTGTGTGTGTATCTGTGGAAAACTAAGCCCTATTTCTGATTCATATTAGTTAAAATTCCTCAAGATTATGTTCCAAGATTTATTTCCTAGATGATAATTTGCTTGCTGTCTAAATAAAGAAGGTAAGGCTGGGAAAATATCACTTTTTTTTCATTACTTGGAGAACAAGTTCATTTTGTAACCATAGGAAAACAAGCATCTGACAGCTGCCAAAATTCCTTAGCATCTGGCTCAGGACTCATAAATATGTAATGAATCCAAAGCATTACATAAGAGTGAACAGATACTTTTTGTGTGTTACTATACCAGAGTTGGGTCTCTTGTCATCAGTGTTATTAGTAGATGGGGCCTTCCCCTTTCCCTCCCCATCCCTCCCATTTTTCTTCTTCCTTGTTTTAAAATGTCTCTCTTTTTTTGCTTATATGCTGAAGTGTTTTTGGTGTCTTACATAGAAAACCTTTCATGGAGGAATTAATCTTAAAAGGGAGACATTAGCAGCTCCATTTAATTGGACACTGTGGGCCTCACACTTCAAGCATACATATTTATTTAATCATTAATAAAAACAGTGTATTTTTGTTGCTGAGTTGAGGAGCTCATGTGTCTTAGAGGTCCACTAACCATTCCCAAAGTTTGCTTCTTCAAAAGAGGAAGCAGAGAGACTCAGTATTCCTGATGCATCTGTCATTCATAAAAGCTAAAATGTAGAACCTGTTTTCAATTTTATGTCAAATCAATACAGGAGACTTCATTTCCACAGTCAAATCACTTATAAAACTTAGGTGGAACACTGATTCTTTAAAACAAATTCAGATTGTAGAGGTCCTTTCGTGATGGAATTAGTATTTTTTTCTTTTAAATAACTCACAATGATATAAATGAAATATATGAAAATCTTTTATAGGAAATACTTTTAATTTAGAAATGGCAATAAATAAAGTTTGAAGGGTTGAAGTGTTTATTGAGCCTTGAAGCACCATGCTCCAGTATCCAGGAGATTTCCAGATACTTACTGGAGTTCTAAGTTGCCATGGACTCATGTCTTTCACTAAGACCTTCCTCTTTGAAGAAGATGGACATATTTCATCCTCGTGCAAGTCATTCATACTGAGAATTTACAAGCCACGTGCACTTCAAAAACCACTTCTAAATGGGCATTTTTTGGTACTATTGCTATAGATACAGTGGATACATCAAACACAACAGTAATTCACTGAGGGGACTGTGCACATTTTTTTTTCAGAGTGTGATTTTCTATGGGAATAGTAAGGCAAAGGATGATTCCCACACTGGTGATCCTAGTTATTCCAAAGGCTGTTAGGTCAGTGAAACAATTGATATTGACCATCACTGTTATTTCTGTTGTTTTAGCTTTCTTTTTGTAAAAGGTTTGGCATAGTCTCTTTAGGTGTCTGCAAAATCACCATCAGGGATGGAAAAATAAGGCAGGGGAAAAGTTCAGTGAGTACTTGAAATGTAACATTATATCAAGGGCCAGAGTGCATACCCTGCTCTCCCAGAGGTTTTGCTGCCTGGGCTGGGAGTACACTTGGAGCAGCTCAAATCACACCTACCTCCTTTACTATAGCCTTGCCTTGACCTGTGTGGCACTCTGGTGATCATCTCTTCAGGCCCTGCCTTGCTGACTCATCTTTCTGGCTTGATCTCAGATCTGTACTGTTATTATATCCTCATCTGGCAGTCATTGATACATTAGCTGGCCATGGTTGCTTTCTTTTTATTCAGGTGCCATGGGACTGCATCCTTGTCAGAGAGAGCTTTGCTCTGCCCACCCTGCTGTGGCTCTTGGCTTCCAGCTCCACTGTCCTGTCCAAGCAGCCTGACACGGAAAAATAATTTTTTTCAGAAGGAAGAGGTCATTCCAATCAGGGGTCAGGTTCAGATACTGACACTTGGGGTGACCAGCTGAAGGTGAACACACCTCCGAGAACACAGAGGGGTTAAAAGCAGAACTCCCAGGAGAACTCGCTCTCTTTGGTTCCAGTCAGCAGAGAGTGCAACCCTCCCCTGCCCAGCCATGAGCTGGGTGGGGAAGGGGAAGCCATGTGGCCTGGGAAGGTAGGCCAAGGGATGAAGGATTGGGAACCGAGCTGGGCCAGTTCCTGTGGATGAAAGGGTGGAGAATGTCTGAGATGTCTTTGCTTCTCACCTCCCCAACCTAGAGGGAAAAGAGATAGAGAGCCTGCAGACACCTGGAAGTTTGCTGGCAGAGGAGAAGGGGGGGGGGGGCGGGGGGGAAGATGCCCAGTGTGGGAGACAGCAGTCCTGGGCCGAGAGATTTCAGCCGTCCAGGGAGTCTGAGAATTTTAACCCTTTCCTGTGAAATTAAGGCTTTGTGAAATATTGCTCCTCCTCAGTTTGAAGGAAAGAGAGACAGCCGGGGACCTTAGATGTTAGGGAAAGAAGGTTGGGGGGAGATGATGGAGTGGCTTTTGGCTGGGCTCTTTTTGTCAGCCATAGACTGAACCAATCCTTCCTCCAAGAGAGACTACATTTTAGGGGGATGCAATGGTGAGCCAAGAGACTCCTTCAGCAACTACCAGTTCAGGAATGAACAGAGGTCAGCGGAGGAGGGTGTGAGGATGCCCTCCGTCTTCAGAGAAGAAGAGAAGGCAATCCCTGTTCTTGGACCCCCAGCCCCAAGGGAAAATGGGGGTGACTGTAGTCCCAAAATGAGACACTGGACTGTTGTTCCTGTTGGTCCTTGGCAAAGCATCCTTAAAGGGGCCCTATAAGCAGTCTTTGTCCATGCAAGATGGTGAGAGCACTGTGACATGGAGAGGAGAGTGTCACACTGGCCTGCTGTGTTTGGGCAGTGCCATGTGTGACATGGAAACACAAGAGGTGGCAGCTATATTTCTTGGGGGTCTATGGTGCAAGGGAGACTCTTCTCTCCCCTGATGGACTCAGGATTGATTATGTGGAAGGATGAAGACTTGGTTAAGGGTCCAAGTGTGTCTCGCTGTGGTTTTGTCCGAGTTGGGTGGTGGGAGGAGGAATGTTTTGAAAGGTTTTTATTTTGAATTTTGTGTGTGTTTTTTTTCCTCTTCCTTTTTTCTTTTATAGTAGTAGTAGTGTAATAAAGTTTTCCCCTTGTTTTTAAGTTTGGCCTGTTTTGCTCTGTTCTCAGTCGCATTTCACAGCATTCAATTGATAGGCTACATTTTCATGGGGGTGCTGGCATTGTGCCAGTGTCAAACCATGACACCTTGTTAAAGATGTTTATCCTGTGAGGGAAAGACTTCACCTAGCACTTCTTTTCTTTATGCTTCTTTCCCCTTTCTCCTCTTAACCATCTTTCTACATTTTCCTCTCATTAGTATTACAGTGTTCTCTGAGTTGATATATGATTCAGCACTCTGCTGAATCACAGACATGGCCATATAAAACATTTTACTGCAAGTGAACTGAAAATCAGCTGCTCTGATATTACCTTTTATTTCCTGAAACTGTTGGCACTGAGGCTCACTAGGTGTCAGCAGAGTAGTCCAGAAAAAAGAAGCCTTTTCCCCCCTGAGAATTAATAAAGGAAGTTGCAGGTAACAGTTAAAAGTTCACACATGTAGAAGATATCTTAAAGCATATTAGGTGGTTGTTTTAGTTCATGTTAGCCTAACCTAGAAAACCAGAGTTATTGTGCTTCCCATGCCATCAGCTCTGTTTTTATTTCATTTTCAAGCTGCTCTTCATATGTACTAAGTCTCATTGTGTCTCTAGAGAACAGTGACTACATGCTGCATTTCAGGCAGTAAATGAGAAAGACTGTAAGCTAGAATAATGATCGCTCAGTGAACTTTTCAAAATACCCAATCTGCTCAGACATGAGGTCTGCAGACTCTCATGAATAACTTTCTCTTCCATTTCCTGCTACCCTGTTCTGTTGTTTATTCTGAAGGCGTGCAAAAATTCTGCCTTTTTAAATTATTATTTTTATTCTTTATTCTACTAATTGGTAAAAATTTATCTATTTTCTCTGGCTTTCAGCTAGGTCTGACATAGAAGATAGCATCTGCCTTCACACTCAAGGGAGTTATGCTTGCCAACTATCCAGATGTCATCTTCCTCTGGCATGCTTCATTCTGGCTAGCTCTGGTCCAAACAGTGGGTGTTTACTGTTTGACAAATGCTAGCTGATAAATCAGCTTCTCAGAACCTTGCCTTCCTTTCCTACTGCCTTTTAAACATTTTGGCTTACTCTTACAGTGGTTTGCAAAGGCTTGCCTTGTCTCTCAAACAGTGGAGAACCAAACAGCTCAGAAAAGCCTTTTTGTAATCAAAAATTAAGTCTACATGGAACTTCCGTAACACTAGCAATAGCTTGCTCCAGGAGAACAAGCAGCTTCTACTACATGATATGCAATAAAATGTAACTGATACAATCCACACATATGGTGGATCATTATATACATTTCAATATATACACATTTATACAGACATGAAAAGTATGGCATTATAAGTTTTTAAAATACTTGGTGTATGAATAGCTTTTTTTTTCTTTATTTTTCATGCTGGATGCTTGGTATCCACATAGAAGCAATTGCTAAGTGACTTAGGCAACTGTCTGCAGAAAATTAAGCTTATTTCTGTATATATTTACAGAACTGATCCAGCCTCTAAGCAGGAAAGCATAGGTATTGGCTTATTGAGGAGGCTGAAAAGTTCATCCTCTGTGTTTGATGAAATCTGTTGAGTTAAAGACAAGTGATGTTACAAGGCAATAAATCATGACCTCTGCAGCTCAAGGAAGAATATCAATAAAAATGAGTTGGCCAAATCTAAGGCTATGCAGTATTAAATGTGTGAAACTGTAAGTTACTATTTAGCTGCTGCAAATTTTCATGAGGATGCATCCTCTAAATAAGTAAAACACGGAACATAATTATTTTTATGTTTATATATTTCCTGGAATTTATGGCTTTAAAGATAGTGGTTGACAAGATCACTGCAGCACTTAACTTCTGTGTTGGGGAAGAGCTCTGTGGTTCTTAGCTATGGATCACACAGACTTTGTTAGTGGACTAAGGTACTTAGGACAGAGAACAAGTCTCTCTTGCCTTTGCCATATTTGGAACATTTGTCCAGAAAGAAAAGAAATCCGAGACCTCAAATTTACTTC